GAGTGATACATATATTATTGGCTATCTATTCAGAGAATTGCGTTTCCGATTTGATGCTTAGGTCGCAGAATAACAATGATATTCAGTAATTATGTACAATCTTAACAATCTAATATGGAATCTTTGTTAACATTAAGGTTGTCTTATTGTAAAGAGAAAGAAATACCTTATAATTATACTTTAAATTTGTGAATACACAAATATCAGGGAATATTTAGAATGTAAAAAAGCTTAATTTGGATTTTGAAACATAGACAACCCTAATGTGATGAAATCCTCTTAATAGTATATAATAGAGGAGTTCATACATGTACTTGTTTTGAGCCCCAGATAGCCTTTGCTCAATTTTATTTAAACATGGGCTCAATATCAACATATATGATATGTTATAGATTGTTGTTTTTATAAGATAAATTAGATACAAAATTATTATTTATTTACAAACAGACCAGCTGTTTATTATTTACAGGGGATAAGAATACATATAAGACGTCATTTATAGATCATGATAAACTCAAAGTGATCAACTTCTGCCATGGACCGACATCAACACAGAGCAATGCATTTATACCATAATTCATACCATGATTTTGAGGCCAGCGTGCTTTGTTTCTTTTATGGCAGCTTTATCTCTTTGTTTACTTGTAATGACTAGTGGTCAAATTGTTATGAACTACTACCGTTGATAACAATTTTCTTTCGCCTTTACAATTTGATTAAATTTTGATTTAAATCAAAACATCTGATAAAGCATTTAGATGGATGGAAACATATGCGGGAGCGAAACGACCGCACCACACATAGACTGGTTTTACATGAGGGTTTTTAACTATTAAATTAAACAAACATTTGAAAGTAAACATACAATAAATATTGCATATGTGTTTTGTTATGACTACTTCTAATAGAGATAACTGATATTACATTCAAATATAGAGTTGTATTGTTTTATTATTTAATAGTTTAAACATAGTTTATTTCGAACAAATTCACAATTTATATACACAGACAATAATGTACACAATACAAACATGATATGTTGAAAAAAATTGTGTCCGAAAGCTGAGCTTATAAAGGCTTTCTCCTTACAGATTTACAATGCATAAAATACGGTATGACAGTATATGTGACTTGTTTGAAATATATCTGATTTTACATTGTTTTTAAGAAGTTTAAGTCAAAATTGTTTCTAACATTTAGTGATAATGTAAAGCAAAAATATATACAAAAAAAGGAACGAGAAGACTGCATCATTTTGTCATATAAAATTAAAGAGAAATAACGGAAATTAAGATAGATAGAAAAAAATGAAGTAAAAAAAAGTTCAGCAAAATAAAAAAGAAGAAGAAATAAATTAAATGTGGATCATTCGGATAGTTCGGCGATTTAAATGGGAATTATTTATTGATTTGAGCTGATGTGAATATGTTTAAGAGAATCTCCTGCTTTCTCGGATGTATGTATGAACGGCTTCAAACAGTCTTCTGTTTGCATCACCACTAATGTTTGGGTCTCCATTTAATAACTTTTGGAGAGTTGCTGAACAAATAGTAGATATAGTGTTAAGAAAAGAGGCCCTGCTGTCAACATAGCGTTGACATTCAAAGAAAAAGTGGTTATTACTTTCCACTATGCCACACCGACAAAGTGGAGATGGAGAAATATTTTTCTTAAATAGATGCTGATTTAAAGAACTGCATTCAGTACGAAGTCGAGCATGAAAGATCTGCCATTTTCTATCGCCTTCATAGAAATTAATCGGACAAATAGAGCTGCTTCGTCTCAAATGGGATTTGAAAGCAAACAGTGAACGTAAATTTTGTACTTCAGTTGGAAAGGCGTTCCATTTATTCAGAGCAGTCGGAAGAAAAGCATTTTGATAAAGAGTTGTTCATGTTCGAATAGTCTAAATATTTGTAGCATTGCGTAGATCGTACCTTGAATTTTCGCCTACAGTAGGTGGAAGTAAAGAACACAAGTAATCTGGTGTTAAGCCATTTCTCATTTTATAAAGTAAGATAAGCATATGATTATTTCTTCGAGATTCTAAGGATTCCCAAGGAACATCACTATGGAGTTTGTCTAATGATACAAGTTTTGTAGCACCGCACACAATACGAGACGCTTCATTTTGAATTTTGTCAAGCTCAAGCCTCTCATATTGTGTGCAGTTTAGATTGACAACATCGGCTTGTTCCAAAATCGGTCGGATGAAAGTTAAATTTATCACTTCAAGAGATCTACGGTCAAGCTGAAACTTCAATTTCCTCAAAATATGTATCCTCTTCCAGGCTCGTTCGGTAATATAGTTTATGTGACAATGCCATGAGCAATCGTCCGAAATGTGGAGGCCAAGATGTTTGTGACTGTTTACAGTTGTTATTTGTTGGTTATGCATTAGAAAAGAAGAGTGAAAGGTTTTTTTTTCTTTTACGAGAGATAACCATGGATTCAGACTTCGATGGATTGAAAGTAAACAGCCATTTTTCAGCCCAAGCTGATATCTTGTCTATATCAGATTTAAGTGTTTCAGCAGCAGAAGCAGGGTTGTCAACAAAAATTTGTAAACTGGTATCGTCAGCAAAAAGATTAATTTTAGAGCCTATATCTTCCACGATGTCATTGATGAAAACAAGAAATAGTAGCGGCCCAAGGATGGAGCCTTAGGGTACTCCAGCCTTTACTATCGACCAGTCTGATTGGACGCCAAGTAGGATAACTGCCTGGTGCCTGTTACTCAGATAGTCAGAAAACCAGTTAAGTAGACAACCGTCTATTCAAGCAGCTTTCAGCTTAAAGAGAAGACCTTTGTGCCAGACTTTTCAAACGCTTTTCTTATGTCAAAGAACACAGCTCTAACTTCTAATCCGTAAACAGAATGTGTTGTTCAAGTACATTAACTGGTTTTCCGTTGAGTCACCTGGTCTGAAGCCTCACTGTACGGAAGAAAGAAAGTTATTATCTTGAAGAAAATTAAAAAGATAATTAAATATAATACGTTCAAAAACCTTTTCTACGCAGCACAACAGGGAAATCGGACGATTGTTATTTGGAACAGATGGATTACCATTTTTAAAGACAGCACATACATTGGCCATTTTCCATGTAAATGGTATTTTACATGTCAGAAGAGACTGATACAACGAACATAAGAGAAATTTAATAACTGAAGCAGTTTCCCGCAATATTCGGTTACTGACCCCATCATGACCTAAAGCTTTGTTTATTTTAAGTGACCGCCGAGCGTCTTCAACATCCTGAGGAGAGATAGAAATGGAACAAAGTGTGTTTATAGGCATATTACAATCATTAAAATGCAGTTCTATATCAGAATTATTTAGCAACGACTGGCTACAGAAAAAGTCATTCAAAAGGTCAGATTTCAATTTTATTCTTTAAATTGCATGAATGGTGTTTGTTTACCAATATTATTCGATTGAAATAAAATTTGTCGCTGTATGGACCTTGAAAATTTGTAGTGAAAACGTAATTAAAATTGATATGATTGGTGTTAAATAAGAGGGAAAAGGATAAATGAAAAGTATGCACGCGAAGTATTAAATTGACTGACGATTACTGATCAATAGTCATATTTATGTTTTGAAGATATAACACAGACTCATTGTCTGTGGAAGGTATTAAACACAATGAATATACTAGTTTATAAACATCCGAATTATTTTCAAGGTATAAATGGAGAAGTCTAATGCTAAGCAACAACGAAAAAGATAAGGATATAACATAAATTTCATGACTAATGGCAGATGAAGGGAAATAACAAAAATAGCTATACATGACACATGTAGTTGCATTTTCTTCCTTTTAGTAAAAGTTTTGAATCAATAGCTAAACTCTTTCATGTGCTTTATAATGCAATTGATTTGAATATATTTTATTATGTATTTTATAGTTTTATAGAATAAGTTTTCAGATCGGAGACAACTGGTGGTCTCGAGACCTCCTACTGGAAGTACATGGTAGTAACTAATTTATATCGCTTGTGTCTATTATTAATACCATACTATACTATACTTTATAAATACTATGCTACGATATGCTGTATTGTGCTGTGCTGTGTTGTGTTGTGCGCTATACAGTACTGTACAGTGATGTACTGTGCTGTGCTGCGCTGTGCTGAATTGTACTGTTATAAAATACTTAACACCCATGAATTACTGCTGATGTTGACCTTAAGGAGCCAAGGGTTAAACCTTTTTTTTATTCAGAGTGAATGTTGTGTCCAATAACTATCTATTTAATTATTTGTAATATAGCAACATAACTATATGAAACTTACAAAGTCTATGACTTGTTTTATTATAGTAATTTTGGTTGATATGTTACTATACTGCAATATTATCCATATTCATTGTAATCTTCATGAAAGTTTGAAAAAATATATTTAACAGTAAATTACTATAAAGTAACCAAAAGAAAACAATTTACACATTATCAATGGCACTTACAACCTATGAAAATTACGATAAAGAGGCCAAAATATGCAAATATAGCACTAACTGCGTTAGTAACGTAGTAAAAATATATATTATAAATGCCGAAAAAAAATCGGTCATTAATCGCAAACAACATGTAAATTCTTACTAGAATTATAAATCTTTATACCTTTCCTAAAATCTAAGTACATTTTTCTCAGGTTTGATATTATCGAATTAATTTTTCTCATCTGGAGGCGTGCAGCTTAAAAAATGTTATTGTATATGATCATGCTATGTCACAACGTGTAATTATGCTACATTTATATTCGTTTGTATTTGTGAACATGATAAAGTTGTATATCATTATCCTAAGAGGCAACATTACGCTCTAACTTGTTATGAAAGTCTATTTAGCTAACGCTATATTATATTTATAAATGTGTTTTGATTTTGAAATAAACCTGTAGTAGCAAATACCAACAAAGCGGTGAGTGACCTCAGATGATCAACTTCACACAATTTTCAATCTTATAAATGTTCGTTTGCTTTAGTAAAGGGTCACGATAAATGTGTCAAAAGGTTTAATCTACTGCAGTAACTTAAGCGTTAAAACGTTATTTTTCACTCGGTATATAGAAAGTGTACTGGATTGCTTAAAATGATGGAGTTTGAACTGTTTTGTTTCGCTTTAGGAATGGTTTTAATATATTTTTTATTTAGTAAAAGAAAGAAAGGAAACGGAAAAGCGCTCGTCGGTCCAAAAGGTCAGCCTATACTTGGAAGTATCATGGAAATTGATGACGAGAATATGCATTTTAAATTTTCAGAATACGCAGAACAATATGGTGAAATATACCAAGTTAAACTACTTTTTGATAAATTTATAGTGTTGAATAGTGAGCGGGTTATTAGAAAATGTTTTGGAGGTGATAAATACAAGCACGTTTTTAATGATCGATCTGAGTTATTTTACGGAAGACACTTTGCTTGCAATAACAAAGCTTTGAGTTTTGTGGTTGATGGGACAGGACAGTTTCATAAAACTGCAAGGAAACATGTTATGCAAGCTTTGCATGCCTACGGAAGTGGCTTGCGGGATTTAGAGAATAACGTCATGACTGAATTTTCTAATTTACATACACGAATTGAGGATGAGGATATTTTTGAATGTGTTTCCTTAATATTTCAGTCTATCTCAAATGTTCTGTCACTGATGGTAGGTTCTGCTATTTTGTTCTGTTTCAGTTCGTTTGCATGTGATATTAATACAAAACAATCGCTATCTTGTTTATGTATTAAAATAGTTATGTCATATGGTGAAGCAAAATATGTAGTCTAAACTAGACTTTATTGAGATACCATACCGCGTACACATTGTCTCCCATAAAGATTTTGTTTTCTATAAAGTAATATTACTCAATAGCCAGTTATATTGAGATGCCTCACCGCATTCCTAATAAGTAGAGAAAAGAAACATCTCGTATCAGCAACATTATGCTTCTGCTCTAACGACTTTACTATTCGTGTATATACTCAACATTTTCATCCATTAATGACCGGTTTTATGAAATGACAGTGAAAATATGCATGTTGATTGTAAACTTGTAAATGAAATATTGAGAAATATTGATGAAAGAAAATGCGTGATTCTATTTTCATTTTCCGTATTTTCACTGTAAAAAAATATTTTTCACTGCAGTGAAACAAAATTTACGTATCTCACTGGTAACTTGCCGGATAACTTCTTTTTTAATTCAGTCAATACACAAAAAACTGAGAAGTCTTAAGAATTGTAAAGTCAAAAAAGAGAAAAGGTACCTAATAAACACAGAATTCAAGCTTGTAACATACATAAAGGATTTATGTTTTTATCTTGTTTTAAAAAATTACATTTTTACATTTTACATTTTTTAACATGGCTACCTCTTGATGAACATAAATACTGTATTTTATAGAAACAAAACTTGAATATCCTCTATATGCTATTTTTAAAGTTTAGTAAATGGTAAAATTATTGTTGTATTTTATCCAAGTTTAACAAATTAAATCATTGTAAAACATGCAATACGGAATATGTCATTTTTTAAAATATAATTCATTAGTGTGACATATTATAATGATCTTACACTGGCTGCCGGTACGGACCGGAATATCTAGCTCGCGGGTAACTGTTTACGGCGGTAACGGTGCTCTGTAGAGCTTTAGCGAGAGCTGCAATTGCGTGCCGATATACTGACAGCCGGTGTTTGATTCTTTTTTCTTGCATATGACATATAAATCATAATTAGTTAACACATAACGAACATAATTTTCTATAGCCATTTAGCCATGAAGAGATTCAGGACACTCTAAAAACTCTTAGTGTAGGCAAAGCATCAGGGCCTGATAATATTAATAACAGAATTCTCAAGGAACTCTCAGGAGAACTTGCTGTACCTCTATGTCGTGTATTTAATAAATCAATTAGAACTTCAAAAGTCCCGTCACAATGGAAGCTTGCCAATGTCTGTGCAGTATATAAGAAAGGAGACCCAACAATTGTTTCTAACTATAGACCAATATCACTCCTCAGCACAGTTAGTAAAACTTTAGAAAAAATTATACACAAACACATTTTCAACTTCTTTGTCTCAAATAACACAATAACTGCATTGCAATCTGGTTTTGTTCCAAACGACTCTACGACTAATCAACTTGTCTCTATATATAACACATTTTGTAAAGCCCTTGATGATGGCAAAGAAGTAAGAGCTGTTTTCTGTGATATATCCAAAGCTTTTGATCGTGTTTGGCACAAAGGTCTCATTTCTAAGCTTGAGTCTACTGGAATAAATGGTGTGTTATTAAATTGGTTTTGCGATTATCTTTCTGAAAGAAAACAAAAAGTAGTTCTTCCTGGCGGCTCATCACAAATGGCTTCTATCACAGCTGGAGTACCACAAGGGTCTATATTAGGTCCGCTTCTTTTCCTCATATATATCAACGATATTGTCCTTGACATAAATACATATATCAGACTCTTTGCAGATAATACAAGTTTGTATATTATCGTTGACAATCCTGCTACCGCTGCTGCAACACTTAACTTAGATCTCGAGAAAATTACTGTATGGGCAAACAGATGGCTTGTCACTTTCAATCCAAATAAAACTGAATCTGTCATTTTTTCCCGTAAGGTTAATAAACCTGTTCATCCTCCCCTTAGTATGAACGGAATACAAATCTATGAGGTGACCTCTCACAAACATCTTGGAGTAACTTTTTCATCTGAAGGAACTTGGCATACCCATATAATGAACATATCACAAAAGGCATGGCAACGACTTAATATTATGAGGTCTTTAAAATTCATCACTGATCGTAGATCACTCGAAACTATATATCTTTCTTTCATCAGGCCTCTTCTTGAATACTCAGATGTAGTCTGGGATAATATTACTCAACAAGATGAATTCGAGTTAGAACAAATCCAACTTGAAGCCTGCAGAATTATAACTGGTACAACGAAACTTGTTTCTTTCTCAAATCTGTATGAAGACACATGTTTTCAACCCCTAAAAGTAAGACGCTATAAACACAAACTAATTCTGCTATATAAAATGTTCAATCACCTATCTCCACAATATCTATCTTCCATAGTTCCAAACACAGTAGGACAAACTTGACAAACTTCAGTATACAACTTACGAAATGCAAGTAACACTAGAAATATTTTCTGTCAAACTCAACTTTATTCAAATTCATTCTTACCATCTTCGATTAAAGACTGGAATGATCTCCCTGTCGAACTGAGAAATGCACCATCGCTTGCAATTTTCAAAAAAAGACTAAATGAAGATGTCCAAAAAGTTCCATCACACTATTAAATAGGTGAAAGAAGATATCAAATAATACATACACGATTAAGAACACATTGCAGCTCTCTGAAAGAACATCTGTTTTCTAAAAACATAATAGACAGCCCTTTTTGTATATGTGGTGAAATAGAAAATACAGAACACTATTTCCTCCGCTGCCCCATGTATCAAGATGACCGCACTGTCCTTATAAACAATTTAAGTCAAATCACAACTGTAACATTGAATAATTTACTATACGGCGATAATTCACTTACCGGTGCTCAAAACGAAACAATTATATCACATATACATAAATACATACAAAAAACAAAAAGATTTGATACATAATAATATTCGTTTGAAAAGAAAAAGGTCCTCCAACTCCATAGTAGTAAAGTGACTTTCTTTCTTTCTCTTGTTCCTTATCTCTTATTCTCTTCTATTATTACTTCTCCTCCAATGTACATGTTTTAATAATTAAATTTCTCAACATATTAGTTTAATTAACCAATCACTAAACTAAGCAATATATCCCTTTAAAAATGAACTCATACTCGTGCTTATATCTCTAATCTAACAGCAATGTATCTTAAATTTAGTTCATGAATACTTGACATAAACATAGTATGTATAGTAAGAAATCAAGAACAAGTCGATATGATATGTATAGTTTAGTTTAGATATTTATATTTTGTTACCATTTATTTGAAATTTGTTAAATACTGATTACGGAGAGATTTTTCAAAAAAGCTTTACAATCATCCTACTCAATCAGTAAATTTTATTTTATGTAATTTATTATGTAAATGTGTGGATTATTAATAAAATATTGTTTAAACTATAGCCATTTATTATCTTATAGTGTTGTATGAATTCACAACTTGATTCATAACGGCAAAATGACAATTCCACGAACACAAATCATTGCAAACGGTGCGCGGGGATTACATCATTTTAAACACGTGACTTTTCTTACATAGAGGATGGGATGGGGTGAAAGACAGGATTATCCAGTTCCGGTATAAACAGTAACTAAATCCTGTCTGATATGCAATTAAAATTAGGTTATTTTTGGTACATTTACTATATCTTTGATGAAAAATAACAATCCTTTTGAATTCATATTTTACAGTTGATTGGTGAACCAGTTTTAGACGATGAAAAAGAAAAGAACATGTTCTTGGATGAAATACACGTTGAAGATTTCTTTCTGAATTCTTATGTAAACTTCATAATGTCAGTGTTACCGTTTGTACGATATATGCCTGGAAGGTACAAAAACGAATTCCTAAAGGCAAAGGCTGTTAATGCAAAAATTGTCAAGAAATATTTTCACGATGTGAAGGTTTGCTTTCTTACATTTTACAGGGTTAAGTAAAATTGATTTTGTTTGATATGTTGATGTACACCTATCTATCATTTTTTAAAAATTAAACAGAAACTTTGTATGCATAAAATATTTTGACATTTTTAATTTTTTAATAATGTGTGTATAAATGACAGTGGAAATGTATAAAATACATTGAAATGCATATTGCTAACGAAAAAAGGTACGTTTTTTTTCATTGACTCTTTTAGAGATTATTTCATGATGTTTACATCATGTACAAGTTTAAATTGATGATTTTGTTTTGTGTTTTTTTTTCTATAACAGAGAACGTTTGTTAGAGGAAAAGTTCGTGGTATCGTAGATGTTTTTATCGAGGAACAGAATCAACAAAAAGAAGCTGGAGGGCAAGTTTTCTTTACGGATGATACAATTATAGCCCAAGTGATTGACATAATAGATGGGGGTGAGCATTATAATGATATTTAGTAAAGCGATGATTTCAAGAAATAAACTGTATAACAAATTATTAGAAGCTCACACTGGCTGCCAGTATAAGCCGGAATTTCTAGCTCGAGTATCCGCTAAACTGTTACCCGACAGCTAGATATTCCCGTCTGTACCAACAGCCGGTGTTTGCATATAACGTAATAATTATTTTCAGAATAGATATTACAAAACTGATTTTCTCCTTTTTCACCTTTTTCTTTTAGTGTCCAACTTTATTTGTCATCGAATAAAAGCGCTGTATTTCTTAAAAATTATGTGCGTTAATTTTTCACAGAAGAATAAAAGTCGATACTATATCGAATACCTTTCATTGTCGACTTCTATTTTTCATAGTGCTTAATAGAACCGATGTGTGAAAATAGTCATTTGCATAAATTTTTGACAATGGTATAAAACTATAGAGGCTATTCGTTGCCAAAAATCCAGCCTTTGAAACTTGACAATGCATACTTCTGTTCTACCAAACAGATTAGTAAAAATCTAATTGTCGATCCGAGAGTTACATACTGCACTGGTATTAAGCATTTTGATTATCTCGATTTGATAAAATGAAAGGTGTTAACATGCAACTTAGATAAATTGCAAACTGTATTTATAAATGTATAATTTCAAATTTGCGACATGTAGAAATGTAAACGATAGAACGTACACAATACGTTTAATGCTGTGCATCATGACGTTGAGAATGTAACTGCATCAACTTGACACACTCAGGTTTACAACACCTAACTTTCCTGTTACTCTTTCCTGTTACATTCTAACGCGATTATCAATTGTAAACGATTTTGCAACTTCCATATATGGAATTATCACGGAAAAAGACGAACTTTAATAGGCGGAGCCAATTTCACGAAAGCAGAATATAAAGAGAGGTAACTCTTGCTGGTACAAAAATATTTCAAATTATATAGAAACGGTTACATCAATCTTGACTTTGAACATCCTCTGATTTTGTTAAAACGTATTCTAGTACAGGATATTCAAGTAATGCAAAATTGGTTAAGATATAATGTAAAAACGTAACGACGTATATACTGATAATGAGCATAATAATATGCAAAAACTAAAGTTGGTGAAATAACATAAGGAAATGTTTTCCATATATAATGACACATATCAATAGTCATTGATATCAATGATAGGGTTTTGTGGGCCACCGCAATACTTACGCATATTTTTTTTACCTTCAGCAAATAGTACTAGAAGGCGATACATGGAAGGCACTTTTGGCAACACGAATAAAGAGAACCGAACAATAAGCCTGTGCCTTCTTTCTTTAAAGGACTATGTTGGATTGTAGAAAAACTCATATTTTTGACAAAGTGTATAACCACGAAACAGTGCAAAGTTTACTATCGATAATTACGTTGTATAACCAAAACTTGTGAATTTGTCCCATTTTAATGTTGAAATAAATATTCAGTGTATCCTGGCAACTCTGTTTACCTCCATTGGGAGGTATTTTGAGTCATAGGATGTGATTTAGCCTTTTATTGTTAAATATATGTAAGCTGGCGTAGGTAAAGGTCTTTTCATGCATTGTGCTGAATCAATAGCACCTCTAAAATATGTGTATACATGCTGTCATTAGCTGTTACCTAGATTTGCTGTCTAGATTTGCTGTCTATATGATCAAAAACAGAGAACTACTTTTATGTACATGAAATACTACACAGAATATGTATTAAGTTTTGTAAGTGATGGCTTTGTAAGAGATAAAATAAACAAGGTATACATAAATTGAAAATCAACATACATACATTTGGACTCATTTAAATTTTACTTATTGAAAAACAAAATAGGAAAAATTGGAAAATATATGGTAAAAATAAAAAGTTTGGTTATAATTTTTCTATAATTGTTAAAAGTTTTTTCTTGTCAAGTCATGCACTAGAATTAAGGATACTGATATAATAGTACTACTAGGAAAGACAACAGCCAGAATTTGGTCTGTATTAGTAATTAGTCGTATCAAAATCTCTATCAGATGTTGACTTGATAATTTGAAAGTGGTAAGGTAGCAGCTTATCTGTAAATGTTACTCATTCCTATGCAAATTTGAATACCATCAGTAAAATTTATTTGTCGTTGAATATAGTCTTTTCAATAGTTTTCACTTCCTTGAAAAATATTTAACCTCAGACAGTATGTAACCTGGTGTTTTTGGGGTTTTTTAAGTTGTTTTTTTCAAGGAAATGTGGTGTCTACAACGTTTTAAAACTTATATGCCTATATTCCTTTAAAGTCCGCTGATGTTGATTGTAGGCAATCATGCAAGTGAATTATGTTTAGTAACTTAACACCTAAAAGGTATGATAAACGGAAACTACGCCGCTTCTTGTCGCCGACGGTAAATACCGAAAATGAACGGAAAATACGTTTATTTACGATGATTTAGTGGGCAGGGAAATGGGCGGAGCTTATTTTATCTCCTATTGAAAAACGTGTAAAGCTGGATTATGCTGATCTGAATCATGATGGTGCGACAATGTAAAGCTAAGAATGTAACTTCTGTTTTGAATATTCGAACACTTGGTATTGCTACTATGATATCAGTTAATGTTTTGTCGTTTAACAAAATGTATTTTGTTGAAATGCATGTTTACAATGTTAAAACGGCAAACTCAATCCAAGTATGCAACATTGGAGTTTACATATTAAGAAATACAATTGTATTTGTTCCATTAACAAACTGTTCAACTCAGATCAACAAGGCTGGAATTTTGGCAACGAATAGCCTCCATATAAAACACATTTTTGTTTGACCTATGAAATGATAAAGACGTTAAAAAGTGCTTCTTTACGTCGATATTTTTTGGTTTGATGTAGTAACCGTATGCATTAGTGTAAGATAAGTGTTACTGTTTTATTTCGTCACAAGATTTACACCACGGCTTCCATTTAACAATTATAACTATTACTATTTTGCTTTTGGTAAAAAAACAATTTGATGTCCACATGTATTTAGAGTATTCAACTACATGCCGAATATACTGTTACGTACTATCAAAATTCACGTTTTATCAATTATTTAATTTCATCACATGATTCACGTAAAATGAGCTAATAATTTTCAAATCTTATACGCATCTGTTTAAATAACATTAACATAGCTTTATACAAACATGATTTGTAATACAATATAGACCATTTTACCATTTTATAGGAATCACAACAACTTGGTCAGTTCTTTCAAATACAATATTGATATTACTGAATCATCCACAATATCAGAAGCTGCTCCAGAATGAGTTTGACAGGGAAATTGGAAGACAACGACCTCCGACATTTAAAGACAGAAGTAATTGCTCATTTTTCAAAGCATTTGAGATGGAAGTGCATAGATACATTACAGTTGTCCCACTTATGTTGCCTCATAAATGCAAAGAAGACGTAGACTTTGAAGGATATGATATTGCAATGAACAGTACGGTAAGTTATCTTCAATAATTCGAAACAAAAGTTTATAAGATGTTTTGAACGGTAAGTGTTTGAACATCGTAGTACAAAAAAAAATATTAATGTGTGGATGATATGTATAAATATTTCAAAATATGCACACGTTTTCGTCTAGTATTGAAATTTGTTTCTCTTTGTAAGCTTTGATCTGAAGATTGTATTATCACATCCACATCATGTCATTGCAATTTTTTACATACTTCATATATCTGACAACCTTAGATCATGTTATCTGCTCCCATGTTATCATAATCTTATAACTAATTAATTATTGTCATTCTGCCTTCTTCTATCTGAACATTGCCTAATCGTTCGCAAATTATGTTGCCTGCTTCCACCATTATCGAATCGAATTTAGATCGTGTTGTCTGCTTCTATCTTAGCATTCTCAAATAATGTTTACTTGCACGTACATCACTTTGAATAATTTCACACTGTGTACATGTAATTACCGGTATTCCATACCCATCGTGTATATCCAATAACGCATGAATGTGCAAATAACGCAGGGATTGCGTAAAAGTAACGCAAAATTGTGCAATTTAGTTGCAAAAACAAGCTCCGCGATAAGTAAATGGACCAATATTTTTCATTGTACACCAATTGGAAGAAATACGTTAGCGCAGACAGTTGCTGAGACATTTTACTTTCAACGCCATCAAAAATATTTCCATGATTATGTTTATTTTTCAAGATCATTCGTGAAAATTACGACCTGGCTAGCGTATTGATGGCGATTTTTAGTTTCGTTGATATCTTTAAATATAATAACGTACATATAACTTTATAATTGTTTTTATATTTGGTGTACCTGAGACTTTTTTCAATCTATTCGTGCCATGTTACATTAAATTTCGCAGACAAAATGTAATTAAGAGCATTATTTTGAGGTAACGCCGAATTTGTGAATGAAACAACGCAACGGCGGTTAGCCCAGTAAAAGGACCTAAAGACTATTTAACCGGCCTCCTTCTATTGTTAAACGACACTTGTAGTTTGACAAATGTCTTGGGTATAAAGAATATGAAAACAATAAAGATCTAAATGTATTAGTTGTATATATTTATTTGACGAAACACGAAAGACACCTTCAAAACGATAATCAGGTTGTCTTTTTCACGAATGATCTAAGAAAGTAAACACATTTCCAGAAAAAAGTAATTATGACTAAAGTATTATGTAGTAGTAGCCGTATGCGCTAATTCAATTCTTTAAATTTGATTAAGAATAAAACAGTTTGGTTTGTTTACGTACTGTGTTATGCGTTTTGCACAGATTCGGCGTTACTTTTACGATAATTGTATATTCCTGCGTTACCGGATATGCACAGTGATACTGCATTCTCTACAAATGTGTAAATTAATATCACACACTATAATCTCTTGTAATATATTACTTTTAATAAATATCTTTCTTAGATTTATTTTTCTAAGTATTTGCATATTTATATGTTGAGAATATACACAAAATTTCGATAAACAGCATTTCTACAAAGGGTTTTACATCTTGATGGCAAATATTTACTTTCGTTGCGTTGGATTAATAATTTATTGTTTTATCAACATCATTCAGAAAGGCATCATATAAAGGTTTAATATATATTTCAGTGAAAACAGCTTCTTTGTATGAATACAATAAGATTATAGGTCATCTTTCTCTTCAAAGGTCATTGGGAATAGTTGGTATATCCACCACAACAAGGAGATTTGGGGAGATCCATGGACATTTCGCCCAGAGAGATTCTTGGACGATCATGGAAATGTCCTGCCTTCTGAACACATATTGCGAAAGAAGTATAAAAGTTCACTAGATTCAAGCTTATGATCGGCCTATAATATCAAAATTATAAGAAAAAGAATTGTTAATTTATGATTTTCAGTTTAACTCTTACTGTACCTCAAATATCACATTTTTAATGACTTATAATATTAAACGAGATTGTTAAAGTTAATAGATGAAACATCATAAGATATGATATTTGTAACATCTTTCTTTTTTATTTCAGCTTGATACCTTTTGGGAACGGGTTGCGTCAATGTCCAGGAGAATCCTTCGCTAAAACACGTTATTTTCTTTATGTCAGTAACCTTTTGCAGCGCTGGTGTTTTGAGTTTCCTGAAGGAAAGCACATCTCGAGTGATCCGAGACTTTCCGAGAACTTTGATATCAGTGTTGTTATAAGACCCAAACCATTTTACTGTAACGCTAAAAAGCGGATATAGATTTATATGTTTCAATATTATTCCTGTTGATAACTTTTTAAACAGATTCAAATACCGTATTAGTTCAATAAATGCTGCTTTGGAGACAACTATTACTATCATTTATTCAGTAGTTACACTATAGAAACATTGTCACATAAGTACAGAAGTTTAACAATTGTTGATTTTTGTTAGGAAAAAAAATGTGTGAAATAATTTTTAACAAATTAACTTTAAATAATAGAAAAAGAGATAATTTCTAAAGGGCAAGATTTTTTTTTCCAGTTTACATGTCGGCTAAATAAATATGCCATGTTTATTCTCGAACTCGTGAAAATTACCTAGTTCGTATTGGGTTTCAGAAACGATTTTCTTTCAAAATTCGCCTATGGTTGGTTGGTTGTTTGAAATACCACGAGAAGGTGACTACCTTTGGGTGTATGTCAGATCCTATTGGGTATCGTTATTTAAGAGCTGATTTTAATCGAATTGGCTAGAGAAGCATCCTCTTATATCATTTAATGTGGTATTTGGTTCTTTCGATGTCAATTATGGGATATACAATGATACAGGTAACGAAAATCTGTCGTGTACAATTTATATAATTATTGTCAGAAACCGTTATATCTGAAAGGCATATTCCTTCACTGTATGTAATAAATTGACATGTGTAAGAAGTGTCTAATTTAGGCAAATGTTAACGGTCATTAAAAGGAAAAGCTTCATTTGTAAAGTTTAATTTGTTTTTAGATTTTTATAAGGAAACGTAGTTCAATATTGCAAACATTTTACGACGTGACATTCTTTTTTACCACCCTGTAGATAAAACTTTAACCTAAATATGAAATATACGTCGCACATATTTATTTCAAGAAATTACTTAGTAAGTCATGGTCTTTCACTTTAACTTACAAAAAAAGGTTGTTCATATGCATGTAAACTTATTTAATCTTTTGTTCGATTTGATTTGTATCTTTTTCATTTATGATAAATGTGATTGTCATTTGCCAAACTTTGGACCATTGTCGAGTTGTTGCAATAACTTAAAAAATGGTTCGAGTTAGAACACACTTACAATTAGTAATATTCTGGTTCGATAGTCAATAATAAAAGTCGTACCAAACAAACTGTAATCAGTTTATGTCATTATACATAACCGACAGAATAAATTTTATAATATTTTAATGTTGTTTTTGTACTAAGTATCAATCTGTAGTAGTTACCTTACTACTGAATGTTCAGACGAATTTGGGCATAACATCTCACATTCAGTCGTGTAAAATGTTTTGTTTATAAAGCATTTTATACATATTGAAAGGCAAGCTTTAAAACGCAATTTAAAATCCAAAAAAGGAAAGACACAACAACGAAAAAAAACGATCAAAATAGCGTTTGAAATTATTGAATTCCAATAGGATAACAGGCACGGCTGACCAATTCAATTTTGTAAATACGTACCTCTTAACTTTAAAGTATACTTAAATCATCATTTTCACTTCAATTTCTGCTGGACTTCCCGTGTTAACAAATACCCCTTTATAATAATTATAAACATTTTATAAAGAAGAACAAATCTTTTTTTAACGCCATTTAAAAGAAAGAGTCTCAACCCTTTGATTTAATTCATTAATGCACCGGCACGTTATGCTTCACTTCAGTAACGTAATACCCAATTAATCAACCGGTAATTCGAACCGTGTGTGTATTCATATAGAAAGAGAATGATTTGATGCAGGTATTAATATCTTTGTTTTTATTCCCACATTTACGAATATAACTTTCTTGTGACTTATTTGATTCCTGTCATGGAGATTTTGATTTTGGTCAATACTATAGTAATTGATGTCTTACTCTTTGTTAATTTATTTCTTTGGTTTAAATACAACTTAAAAGGAAGTTGTCATTCCAATCGTACCTTCAGACATCCGCTGTTTATAAAAATGTCAGTGTGCAGGTAAAAAGACAACATTGTGACTATTTTTTTTTTTCTTTTTCGTAAACAATATATATTTTTTTATACAACTTAAAGGCAGTTTTACATTCTGATTATTTCAATTATTTCTCTTAGTATTTTACTGAAATATTTCTATATCGTTTGTACAAAACACCTTATTCATACAGTACGACTGTTATTAATTTAGTATTTATATATTTATTAAAAAACGTCAGTATATCCATTCTAGGGGTTAACATGCATGTAAAGAATTGAGTTAGAATAATATTTCTTGTTAATCAAAATGACAATAATTTAGTTGAAATCTTATAAATATACATAAATTTATACATTTCAAATACATAAACAAAATAACTTTTAAAATGATTATACAAATAAGTCAACCACTGAACAGTTAACACACAGATGACCGGAAAGACTGGCAGATACACGTTGGATGCGGTGTATGTTAACAAAACAACAGTGACAATACGACGAGAGCTGTACCATCAATCTGAAATAATAAAAAAATGGGCATCATCTGATCGCAAAGTATTGCAACCGGCTATCTTTTACGGATTACAAAATGTGTTGCTTTTGGGGTTAACAACATTGGTTATGACTTTTAACATCGATCTGGTTTACGTGGTCCCTTTTCTTCAGTCAAATAAAGGGTATACGCAAAGTGTGTTTAAGTTTATGAGAAATCAGCACCAAATGGATATTGCAAACGTCAAGCCCACATAGCAACTACTATATGAAGAACAAGATCAACAAGAGCTGTCGGTAAGACAGCAACGCTCGACTATTCTTAGTTCTTGGTAGTAAAAGAGCCTTGATAATGTAAAAATTTCTGAGTTAATAACAAAAGGACATTTTTTTTCTTTAAATCAACATTACAGTTATAGGCCTTGGAGGGAGTCCTTTTATGCTCTCAAAAGAAGATAATAAAATTTCAACATGTTTCAAAAGAATATGAAAATATAATGAGGTAATATGCAAACCTAAATATAAATTCTAAGTTGAAAAAGGGCATAATTCTGTCAAAATGCTTTACACTTTCACCTGCTCCTGTCTACCTTTGGGGTAAAAATGGTGAACATGTGTGCAAAGTTTCAAAGCAATATGTTAATGGACGTTGGAAATATTTGAGATATTATAATCACTTTAACGTTAATTTAAGTCAAAAAGGGACATAATTCTGTCAAAATGCTTGATACATTTATCTCCTCCTGTCTACAGGTTGGGCATGATGATCAACAAGTGTGCAAAGTTTCAAAATCATATGTCAAGGGACTTTTACTATATTTGAGGTATTACAAAAGCTTTAACGTAAATTTTAGTCCGAAAAGGGTCATAAGTCTGTCCAAATGCATGATACAGTTACCTTCTTCAGTCTACCAGTTGAGATTATGATGATGGACAAGTGTGCAAAGTTTCAAAGCCATAGGTTAATGGACTTTGAAAATAATCGAGGTATTTCAAAAACTTTAACGTTAATTTAAGTCAAAAAAGAGGCATAATTCTGTCAACATGCTTGATACAGTTATCTCCTCCTGTCTACATGTTGGGCATGATTATGAACAAGTGTGCAAAGTTTCAAAACCATATGTCAATGGACTTTGAATATATTTGAGGTATTACAAAAACTTTAACGTAAATTCTTAGTTCAAAAAGGAGCATTATAATGTTAAAATGCTTGATACAGTTAACACCTCCTGTCTTCAGGTTAGGGTCATGATGGTGAACAAGTGTGCAAAGTTTCAAAGCAATTTGTCAATGGATATTGAACATATTTGAGGTATTACAAAAACTTTAACATAAGTGGTTACGCCGACACCGACGCCGACGTTCGGATGACTAAAATAGCTACTTATTCTTATCGAATAGTCGAGCTAATAAGGAAGAGTTGCGCTCAATGAACGCAAAACCTTATTGTAATGGATCATTGTTTTGTGTCAAACACGCATACTGCCAATGTTCTATGGATAATTATGGATTATTACTAATGATAAGAAATAGATCTTCCATAAATGTTGGTTGGAAACACTGATCATATCTTAGCAGTTCTAGTACAAAGTCATCCGTCAATGTAAAGTGAAATCATAAAACGGTTTTATTCCTATCAATGGTCTACGAAATAACTTATTGATAAAGAAAAACGTGTAAATGGTCTGGTTGTACCAATTAGAAATCCGATAAGCGAGAATACTAAAGCCTTTCTCACATAGAACACATATTTATATGGTTGGCCAGTCGTGTAAACCATACAACCGAACCAACCATTGCGTTAACCGAGTTACACTCCTGTTATTCGAGCGTATCCGTGTAAGCCGTGTATGATTTTTAAAACTATTAAAACACTGTGACAGATGTCATGTCCGTGTATGATCGTGTAGGCGACTGTAAAAGACCGTGTGAGACCGTATGAGACAGCATACACAAACATATTTGAAGTCCACTTTACAAGTGAGCCCAACCGTGGCAAGATCTTATGTAAATCGTATAGAATACTGTAACCCATCGAATATTCGCGACCAATTAATATTTGCTCTATTAATGGATGGCCACGAAGCGCGAACATTTGTTTGCGCGAATAAGTCCGCACGAGTTCGCGAATAAATTGGAGAGAAATTTTTATTTTAGACGTTGTTCATGCAAAGCTACTTGACCGGATATATTCGAATTTTACCGGCACCTGTTAGGTAGTAATGAATTTTGATGAATATTGTCATAAAGCAATAAAAACACAAACTTAGTAAACTACTACTATTTCATAAATATCAAAAGAGCTCTTTCAAAATAAACATCCACATTTTAATACAGTTTATGAAATACTAGTAGGCCTATTGTCAATCACGTTCCGTGATCACAATTCACTTGCCAATATAATATAAGGCTAGCGTATTGTTAATCCCATTTAATGACCTCAATTATTGAAGATTAATAGTCGGCTAATGGATTTTACGGCCCCATCAAACTTTCCAATCCGCAAATATTTTTTTTCGGAAATCAAAAAAACGCGATATTAAATATTCGCGAACATGTCCAACCTCGGCAAAACGACAAAAATTTGTATTCGCGAACATAAATTGATAGATTCACACAAGTGCACACACGGTTTCATACGAACGTCATACGACCAGTACGGTTCAAGTACTTATCACACATGGCAGGCACGGCATAGTACGGGTATACACGGTCTCTCAAGGCCTCGTTCGGTATTACGAACTGTATAACGAAAACCACAACTAGCTGCTGCCACCATCAACTGCTAGATCTACCTAGAATACTTGCTGCATCACACTAGAATGCATCCAATTTATGAAGAAGGCTTCCACACAGAGAAGGAAAATAAAACATTTTGGCCCGCAGACATCTCCTACCTGCTGACCCTGCCGAGCCTGATGAGCTTGGGGGGGGGGGGCAACAATGTATATCAGTTTTATCATGATTCCTTATTCCCGTATCCTGTCAGCTTTTTTATATGTGCTTTTCGTTGAAAGTTCGAACAATGTTGAGCCAAGCCATGAAAATGGGTCAATTCATATCAAAACATATTTAAACAAAATTGAAAATGTTGCAGACTCGGTTTGATTGAGCCCGTTCATTAAGTGAGAAACTACCGTCCACGCCCGCTAGCACAAGCTTAAGCAGAAGTCTACATTTAAACATGAAATGGTAAAATTTTGAATTAATATTTGCAGACGTGTTTATACGGCGGTTATCATGGAACCTTCACTGTGACACAGAAGTGCAATTCAATGAAAAGCGGCGTATGGTCCCCGGTAAATAAAAAGCGTGTGCCCTACAGAGAAAAAATGGGCGTAACTAAACAATATGGAATTTTGAAAGGGGTTCAAAGGTTATCCAGCCTGTATCTCACAGATATAATGTCAAAAGACAGTTTAAAGGCAGGCAAAATTATTTTTCCTAAGCCTGTGAAAGGCATGTAAATCGAGTAACGGTCGTGTTTAATTATACCTCACCGTATTAGAACGTTCTTGGAACCGTGCAACAATCGTATGTATTCGCAGGTAAATCGTGTTCAAACCTTGCTTGGCCGAGTATGTCCGTGCTTATTTCGTACATACTTGTGCTGCATTCGAGTCTAAATCGTACCAACTAATCCCCAAGCACGGTGTAAGCTAAATAAGTGAACCAGTCAATCCGTGGGTAACCGAGTATACCGTATGGGAAACCGTGTACCCAACCGTGTTCTGTGTGAGACGGACTTAACATCAAATG